CACTGAAGCATTCCCAATCAGCGACTATATTATCGGAAAAAACCGATTCCCAGTTGATGTTGTTAATTTCGGCCTTCATTTGATCGAAGTCACCACGCCATATATTCCTTCTAACCCTGGTGGGCTGTTCAGGTACCGAGAATATTGAATAGACCCAATGTAGTACGACGTGATCACTTCAACCCAGTGGAGGTAGAGGTTGAACCTCGTCGATGTTGTCCAGCGATTTTGAAAGTACCAGGTCTAGGCAGTTTGATTGCTGCCCCTCACGCACCCTGGTGGGAAACAGAACGTGTTGGATGTAATAAGGAAATTTACGAATCCTTCTAGAATACCATTACCAAAGTGGTTATGTAACACTCATTTAAGCATTTGTCAGATTTTTTACAAAATAACTGGCAACTTGCGTCCAATTTATGCATTTTCGCTCACTCATTGAAGGAGTCTTTTTATTTTTCGCTCATTGGTCGCATCTGACCACCTACTGTAAGCAAATATTTCTCACTGTACGTATCCGCATATTTATTTTGAGATTCGCTTGTGAAAATCTTTTTAAAATAGATTGTAAGTTATAGTGAGAGTAACCCCACGTGTACTCATTACAAAACAAAACAAAACACGTCATGGAACGTACTGCACGAAATAACTCTGCGGAAGATTTCCAACGCATTGTGATATATTGGCAATTTCAGAATAGAGACCGTCTGCATTGTCTACATGATTATGCAGATTTGGTTGGGCTTTCGATAGGAAGATGAAAAAACTACTAAAACCCAACAACTAACGGCGGCCCGTCACAGAAATCGTTGACCGCGGGTGTAGCGGGTTTTTGCGGGCTGCATTTATTTTCCAGAATAAAGATATAGAATCTGATCATATCTGCAAGATCTACAGCAGTTTTAAGCCTGATATTTTCTTATTTTTATTACTTATTGTTCATTATTTCTGTTCTTTTTTTCATTTCGTTAATTTTCCATCGACAGTATCCATAATTAGCGCTTTGATACGTTTGAATCACCTCGAAACCCCCTTGAAGTACGCTCTGTGAGCACTGCCGAGTCGAGCACATTAATTCACCCCACCAACTACGCATACGTCATTGCACTTTTACGGCTTATTACTAAGTTGTCTTTTTAGGAACCAAATACTCTATTGAATACCCAATTTGTGTTCTCTATAGTCTAGATCGTTATATGTCAGCTCAAGGTTGTCATAATCCGTTTAGTTGGCGCTCAAAACAAATTGCATGGAAGATCGTCAGTCTTTTTTGCCGCTAGAGGCGCCTGTCTTTT